TTATTATTAAATTTATACGGTGAGGATATGTTACTCTTTTTTTACAGTTAAGAAAAGTTTAGAGGGAGGGGAGGCTACTCTACCACAAGTCTTTGTGAGAACTTACGTTATATGTGAATAGTACGTACTATTGGAGATTAGTAGAATTGAAGGGTCTTGCTTAGGTTTGGACCTCTCAAATGAAAGGATCAGCAGCACGTAGACTTTGGGTAGACAATTGGGCAGATGACGGTAGAATCCTTTACTTGCAGACTTTCTCATGATCATAAGGGAAGGAGGTGCTACTTGTGGTATACGAATTAAGATATATGCCCTTCACACCAATTTTCTGGCACTGGTCCTAATATTTCAGGACCTACTTTTTGACCATGTCTTCATTCCTGCTTCGAGACAAGACTCTTGTGTTCCAATATATCCTTGATTTGCTTTCTTTGCGTTAATTTGCTCTCAAAATTTTCAGCCAAACTATCCGGACATATTTCTTGCTTGAAATAGCATTGTAGGCATGCAAACTTACTAAGCATGTTTTAAGATGAAGCAATCAAACCATCGCTATAAATCTAGAGACTTGATTGGATGCATGCATGGTTACGCCAGACGTATAATATATTTTATTATATATACATCTTTACTACTACTACTACTACTTTTCAATGCCATTACCACTTGTCTGCCTAACATCTTCAGTTAGTCCACTCTGTTTCCATCATTCCAACCTTTTCACGTTGAAATTAAATAACTTTGGCTGTCACAACAAATAGCGATAGGCCATGCATGCCACCAATGGATGAAAGTATGGAGTGAGAAAATTTTCGGTATGACAGTTTGATAAAGGTATATCTCATATTTGTCAAAATTTTCCCACGAGTGACGGTGATCGAGCACCCATGCCTACCCTACTTTTGCTCCAGCTATAACCGACTGCCTTATTTCTTGCCAGTTTTGTGAATACTGAATATTATAAAACAACTACAGATTGGCTATATATAAGAAAGATGGCTGCCACAAATGAATATGATCCACTTGTACGTGGAATATAATTCATGAGGACTGCGTTTCATTTACGTATATATGTGTATGGTTATACTTCTATTTCAATTTCACTACCTCTTGATGTCAGTTTCCGTAGCCAGCCAGGAACCCTAACATCTTTATCATAAGAAACCCAAGTTGATGTTAAAATCTACGTCGGCTACTACTATTTTCGTATGATGCATGAAGGACCACATTCTGGAGCCCTCAAGTAGGCAATAGTAATTTTCTGACAAAAAAAAAGTCTTTGCTATGCCTTTTGAAACTTGAACTTAGTCTTACTTTTCTTCCTAAAACAAAAATATCGCCATACCACATAAGATCATCTCCAAAAAAGATGTCAAATATGTCAAATAGGATTAAAAGACATTTAAGTGTTCTCCAATGAATAAGTCATATATAATGTGGCATGTGAGTCATTTGATTCATTGATTTCTAGCTGCCTTTTTTGACAGCAAACAAAGAAGTAGTCAAATATATTTAATTTAATTTTTAATGCATGTATCCCATTAACAACCAATAGAATAAAAACTAAAACTAATTTTGATTATTTTTTAGTAGTTAATGTAACTCTAGGCCCAATAAAATAATAAAATAAATGTTTAACACATTTATTGGAAAATAAGAGAATTTGACACTTCTATTCAATTTGCCACATTAGTCATCAAATAAAATTTTGACATACTATATTTGACATTTCATTTGAAGATGCTCTAAGCAATTTATTGGATCTCACGATGCCACATCTGCAAAGTTGACACTTAGGCCCTGTTTGGCAAATCGGATAAAGGATCGGATAGGATTAGTTATACGGACCCGGGTGTTTGGCGTTCACTCGTACTAAATAAGCACCGGATTAATTTAACCGGTCGGATAGGATAATACGGTATACACCCGCTTAATAAAACCAACCAAAACGTCCGGATTATTTAGTCGGGGAAGAAGAATATGGGAGAGAAAGGGAGGGAGTTTGGGGGGTGTGGCGGAGAGAGTTGGGGAACAATTATTTGGGATTCTTCTACCGTCGGGGAAGAAGAAGGGAGAGAGAGGGAGGGTGTTTGGGGGGTGCGGAGAGACCTGGGAACAAAAAAATGATTTCATTTTAAAAATTTTTTTTTTTTAAAGTTTGATGCCTCCTATATAGTATAATATCAAACACAGTATAAATAATACGGTCACTAGTCCGATACTGCACCAAACACCCGACTAATTTAGTCAGTACTATCCGGTGGCTATTTATCCTATCCGACAGAAATAGTCAGTACAGTCCGAGCTGCCAAACGAGGCCTTATTTGACAAAATAGACGAAATACCATCAAAGTGGACCAAAATCAAGTTTCAGAGTTGAGATTAAGTTTAACTTTCAAAAAATAAGTTAAAGAGAAAAAGAGTAATGGTCTTTAGTAGACTTGGGCCTCCCCGGAGTTAAACTGTATGCATAAGCCTGTATAATGAATCCTGACATGATCTTATCCAAACTCAAACATGATCTACCCAAACCCTAACCATATCAAATTACAGGATAAGCCCAAACTGTTTACTTTAGTTAAGAATCAAAGATGCTGCTGCAGGGAAGTCTCGTAGTGCTACACGGCTACTCTACTATAGTTTCTACAAACACTTCCATGAAACATGATCACTTATTAGAATTCATTTTCCCTGGCATGCATGCTGACTTGAAACAATAGGGTTAGGGAACTTTGGTAGGGCAAACCGCACCAAAAAAAAAAAATCATCCGTATATAAGCTATATATTAAAAATAATAAAATAATAAAAACAAAAAACTCTATATAAATCACAAGTCTTGCGCTTCAAGAATTATATATGATTCCCCGTAAGATGAGAAAATTCTAACTCGCAAGTAAATACAATACCCATAGAAAAAGAAAACCTAAATAGGATTATATTCTAATTCTATCATAATTGCTTGGTCAAAATGTACATTCTCTCTTAATAAACTCCCATAAAGCAAAAGCACCAAGCAAGCAAAACCAGTCACAAAGCATAAATAAAAGCAGATAAAGTAAAAGGGAAAAAGAGAAAAAGACATTAAAGTGAACACCAATAATCAGTAGATCCTTCTCCCTTTTACTTATGTAATCACACTTCACTTTACTCATCCTTGCTACTTTGCTTGAACTGCCAAATTTTTGTTGGGATGTATACCATCACCCAAGCTAAACCTAGCTAGCTAGCATCTCTCATGTCTCCTGTAACAACTCCTATGCCGTTTGCCCTGCTCATTTTCCTCACCCTTCCGTTTCTCAGCCACACAGCACCTCAAGCCAGCATCTGCAGAACTTCCTGTGGCAACATTCCCATCAACTACCCTTTTGGCATCGATGAAGGCTGTGGGAGCCCTTACTACAAAAACATCCTCGTATGCTCCGAATCCTCTAAACTCGAACTCCGAACACCTTCAGGAAGATACCCCGTTAAATCCATAAGCTACTCCGACCCTCACATTCTTCTCACCGATCCCTTCATGTGGAATTGCCTTGACGGTGACGCATTCCGAGTGACAAGGCCTTTTAGCCTCGACACCAGCACACATTTATCTCTCTCCCCTCAAAACGACTACCTTTTCTTTAATTGTAGTGAACAAAATGTGATCATTGAGCCAAAGCCTGTGTTTTGTGAGAGGTTTCCGGAGCGGTGTGACTCGTCGTGTGACAGTTCTAGTTATCTTTGCAGGCACTTGCCTGAGTGTGCCTCGGCGTTGAGGACAAGTTCTTGCTGCTCTTACTATCCCAAAGCCACTGAGTCTCTGAGGTTAATGTTGAAGTATTGTGCTACTTATACTAGTGTGTATTGGAGAAACACTGGTGAAAACCAACCGGATGATCAAGTCCCCGAATATGGAATTCGCGTCGATTTTGATATTCCGGTGACCACCCGTTGCCTTCAGTGTCAGGACACATCTAAAGGAGGTGGGACATGTGGATTCGACACAAAAACACATAACTTCATGTGCTTGTGTGGCAGAGGAAATGTCACTACTTATTGTAAAGGTAATTCTTTGATCTATTTAGCCTTGTGGTTAGAGTGAATAGGGTGATGGGAAGGAGTAGGCTAAGTTCAGGTTCAAAACCCTCCTATGTAACTAAAAAAGTTTTTGAGTCATTACTTTGTATCAAACATTAATTTCCTTCTCATAATTTTTTTAATTACAATGATGCAGATCATAGCTTTTCTCAGCATAGGAGGAATGGAGTACTTGCAGGTGATTCACTTCTGAGATTTTGCACAAATAAAATTTCATAAATTCAAGTATAGCTTGGATGTTGTGTGCTTAACTATAAGTTGGATTTGTATTTTGTTAATGTTGCAGGGACGATTAGTGGAGTGACAGTTGCAGGAGCCTTTGGAGTTGGAGCTGGAATTTGGTACATGAAAAAAGTGAGAGCTAAAGCACCAGTAACATGTGGGGTTCAGAGCAATGAGAATAGGCTTTTCTAAAGGCACTAACCAAAGTAAAACCATCCACCTTTCTTTACTTTTTCTAATTTTTTAATCGCTTTTTGCGCATCGACATGCTTTCTATTGTCTCTTAATTCTTCTCTTGTTTATACAACATTGAGACAATAAATGATACCGTGTGAGTAATTTTTCTGTGTGAGCAATCTAGTGGTGTTGTATCATTTGTATTACTATTGAAATATCAACAATGCCGTACGCTAACATTTTAACACTCAAATTCTTGATAAGAAAACCTCATACACTGCAAGAAAAATTGACAATAGCTACTTAATGCTTTTCATCGCTATTGTCACATTTTCTTGTAGTAATGTTAGTAGTCGTCTTACAAAAAATTTTTTGGATCAGAGACATATCATGCAACCTAATAATTAAAAAGTTCACTGATTCCTCACTCTATGTAGTGCCATCTCTAACATTGTGTAGGAACACCAATTGGATAGACTCACAACACAGACAACAAATTGTCTGTCCAGTTTGATAATAGAGATCCAAGAAGCTAATGTACGCACAGAGCTTCAATTACAGAAAACTTAAAGGGTAGGACCAAAAATGGCAAAAAAAAAAAGGTTGGAAAATGGTCTATATAGCAAAGTAAATTAACATGCTTTGCCACCAATGCAGCCCAGAGGACCTGCATTTGAGGTTAAAGCAGGAACCATGGCTCCTGGAGAGACCTTAAACGATTGCGTTCGAGAGTAAAGTGGATAGCAGCTTCCATATCCAGATTGAACAAAAAAAGCACCATTTTTGAACACATCCCCTGAAGATCTCCATTTCCAATTATTCCAACTGTCTCCAGCCTCTCTCTTTGTAACCTGTTTGGCAAAAGGAGTCTCAGGAGCTATGAAGTAGTTCCCTTCACTGAAAATTGTTGGATTGGCGCTGCCTCCTACGGCATACATCTTCCACTCCTTGTATAAATTGTTGGCCACATGCGCATACCCAAACCTAACCCTATTGTTTTCACAAAAAAACAACGACATAAGATAATCTGCATTAATACAGACTTCATTCAATTGTTAGTGATAATTAAACAATGTACTATCATGTACTTCTCTCTGTTCAAGGAGAGGAGTATATGCAACCCATTGCAGGTAAGTTATTGCGCTCACCTTGGCATCCTTTCAGTAAGGCCAGCCCCAAAACGGTTGAAGGCTATTGTGACTCTCATATTTTTATCTTCACTAAAATTGTCATTGTGACCAAAGCAGCATCACCTGAAATTAAAGCACAGCCTGGTTAGGTTACATTCGAAACATAACAACTAGCCTCAATTTAGTGGTTTCCTCCACTGAACGTTGGACGAGGTCTCATGTATGAATTCCCTCGGGTATTGACAATTACACAAAATACGAACCCACTAGATAAATTGTGCAATTAATTAACCCAAACCCAAATGCAATCAACTCAAGCAAAGAAAATAAAACGCTCAATAATGAAAAATTAATTCATAACATCATAATTAACTTTTATGCTTACTTTGTCATGCTGAGAGAAATAGTTGTTTGTGATGGTGACGGCAGTGGAAGCATGGGTGACATCAAGGAGGCCATCTGTGCTACGAGCTAGGAAGCAATGGTCAATCCAAACATGCGATGAAGCAAAGACAGATATGGCGTCTCCGTCGCTCCCTAGACGTTGCCCTACATGTGTAGGAGTGCTCCTAACATTCCCACCCTTCCCAGGCTTACAATCATGAATGCTTAATCCATGTATAATGACGTGGCTAACGCCCTGCACCGTTATGCATGGTCCGTACGCAATTTCAACTTTAGCCCCTCTACCATCTATGGTCTTGAAACTATTCATAATGAGTTCATTTTTGAGCGTGATGACCATATCCTTGGCAAAAACGATCCATAATGGCTGCGTTTGGATCACCCCGTAACGGAGTGAGCCGGGTGCAGGGTTGGGTCATCATCTGAGGTCGTGACTACATAAGTACCCCCGTATTTTCCTCCCAACGCGTCTTTGCCGAAGCCTACTGCGCAGTTGGCCAACGCGCGGCGGTTGGTGGCCCAATTGGACTTTGTGCGCCAACACGAGTCTACCACGTTCATGATGTTTTTGGGAGTGATTTTGGGGGTGGTGTAGTAGTCTGGGGAATAGGCTTGAAATGTTGGAGCAATACAAGTTAAGAAACATAAGAGCAATAATATGAGAGGGGCTAGGGAGGCCATGGTTAATTATGAGTTGAATAAGAAAAGGAACTGAATTAGGAGGATATATAGAAAGAATCAAATAGAGTGATGATGAATGAGAAGATGGTGCACACGATTAGTTTATGAGTGCTTTCGCTTATGTATTGGTACGTAAGATTTTTGGGTCTACACAAAACGTGGTTGCACGAGCTAAGGCTGGTTCACTTTCTATTTTATATATCCCTTAGCTAGGGATTTATATTTCAGTGAAAGGTGAGGGGCACGTAAAAATTTCGGCGAGGTCTACCTCTATTTTTATTTATTTTTTAATTTTTAAATTTTTTAAATTTCTTGATAGAATGATATATTTATACAAAAAAGTGGGGAGTTAATTTGAACTAATATAATTGGTTGGTTTGAATTTGTCATTCACAGAAGTCATAAGGCTTCCACTTACAAGTGAGAGGACTATCACTAACCGTAATATTAATTTATTAAATAACCAAAGAGGCCTGTTAAGATTTATTAAATAACCAGAGAGGCCTATTAAGATTATAAATATAATAATCTCTTAAACTGTCAAGGAAGGTAAAATTTGATACTAGTATCGAAGAGTTGGATACATAGGATGGATATTGTGGGGATATATACTATATTCTTTCTTTCTCTAGGGATATATACTATATTCAAGGAGAGAATAATTGAACCTTGTTAACTACATTGTAAAAGATGAAGAATTGGTACAGAGGAAGAGGAAAATGATAGAGAAACAAGAGAGATTCTAGAGAGAGAGTTTAGAAAGAGAAATATGATTTGTATTGATTGATTGAATGAAGGTTACACAACTGTTTTTATAAGAGAAAGCCTAACTACTCTAACCAAATACTAACCAACTTACTAAGCTAACTATATTTCTAACTGTATTGCTGACTTGAATACTTAATACTCCCCCCTAATCTCAACTGGGGAAACCCATTTTGAGATTGGAAAAACATTTGCAATCAATGCTATGAAACCAGAAAACAGAACACAAAGTTGAACCATCTGCAATCTTGCAATTCCACAGCAAAGTGTCAAATAGCAAACACTTAAATATGGACAAATGGGCGCACTGTAGAGAAACTTCAAAACAATTGGAGATAGGGTTCAAGAGTTATGGTATTGATCATTGTGCAACTTCATTTGATGAGATGGCTAATTGGCTGAAATACAGAAGGACCACAACCTATGTAGCAAGGGGTATAGAGTTCCCAAAAGACAAGATTGCAGGGAAGATGGCTCGAGGAAAGAAATTGATGTCCAATAGTCACGTCACATAGAACATCCTTACCCTGATTGCCTAATGAATTTTCAAGTGGTATAATATCTGGCTGTGACTATTCTTTACCAAATCCAAGAACTGAAGCACCGTCTTCTTTTAACTACACTGGTTTTTCATTTCTTTGCTTAGTCTTGCGTTGTCTTTTCTTTTTAGCAAGCACATCATTTGAATTCTCACCACGACAAACCAAACCCACAAAGTTCTGCTCACTAATAACACTTGTTGATAAGCACATATGCTATATACTTGCTCATATAAAAATCCAATATTCCCATCCAAAACATCCAATACTCCACTGCCTCTCACAGGAGTTTCAATCAAAGAACAACCTCTTATAAAATTGTAACACACCCTCTGGCCGGTTATAACAATTTCTTACGGGATTACCCTTCGTGAGATTTACCATCAACAACTTCATTTAGCATTGGATTCGGCCTTTAAAAACAGAAAAATAACAAACTATAGTGTGGCATCTGCCTTAACTATAGTACTACTCTTAATAATGGCTTCGCCCTTCATAATTTCAACAATAGAAAATTCACATTTATGTAGGATTACCCTTTGTGGCATTTACCTACTCACATCACGGAATTACCCTTCATGGTATTTACCGTTAACAACTTCTTCTACCCTTCATACGATTTACCTATTCACATCACGGAATTACCCTTCGTGGGATTTACCGTTAATAATTTCTTCAAACTTCATCGTATATCCAGACTTTTTGTAGATTCATGCTAACAATTGAGTTGGTTAGACTCAACATTATAGGCTATAATAAAGAAAATACTGCACCATTCCTTCAATTAGCATTATAGAAACCCAGAATGCTCCAGTTAATGAGATGCATATGGAGGCAAAATCAGGGGACCCCTCTACCGTTGATGGGGCATCAATATTAATGTCAATGTCAAATGTGTCAAATGACTTGTCATTAGTTCCAAAACCTGCTAAAGTTGGTGACAAGCTGTAATAAGATGCAAAGATGACTTTTCTTCCTTCTGCCAGTCCAGGTTCAGATGACCATACTCTAGACATTGTGATGAAATAGAGTATGAGTTGCAGAAAGATCAAACCCAATAAACTAGCGGAATATCAGTGAAGCAGAGAAAGAACTGGACACCACCATACAAATTGCACAATCTAGCAATGACCAATATTCTTGAATCGAAAAATCCCAAATATCACAAACATTGATCTTGACAGCAAGAATCTTGAAAGCAAATATCACAAACAATTGGAAGAACCCAGAAAAGACGAACAAGCGGAGTGTAAATTCAATATACCACTCTTTGGCTATCAGCCTTACTAATTGACAAAATAGCGAACATTTTCTTACTGGAACATTTAATCAAACAGATTATGTGCACTGTGAAAACCAGAAATCAAGAACCTAATAAGAACTTCAATCTTGAGCCAAAGAACGCAGAGGAAGCAAACTAGAAACCTTGGCGAATCAATCTACTGACTAGCAATAACCATGGCTTTCCTTTCTCGTTCACACACACTGAGAAATCCAAGATTGAGCAAAATCCAAGTGAGAAATGGCGGTGGGTTTTTCTCTAAACGCCGCAGTTCGGCTTCCCTCAATGACCCACGAAGATGATATGGTCAGGCACTCATTGGTCTCCACAAAGATGACGACCTAGAAGACGACTGAGTGGGAGAAGACATCAGAGAGGAAGAGGTGCCGTCGCAGAGGTAAAACACCAGAATCAAGCTGCCGGAAAAGGTGCTCAAGACTGTTAGTATCAAGGCAGAGATGAAGAATGGTGTGCTGAAGGTGGTTGTTCCAAAGGTGAAGGAAGAGGAGAGGGCTGACGTCTTCCATGTGAAGGTCAAGTAGTGGTGTCGTACTGGTCTAGTCAGCTTCTTCTTGAAACCCAGAGGAAAAACCCCAAAACTAAACACAAAACCCTCGATGGAAAAAATCCAAAGACCAAAAATAAGAACTATGAATACGGAAGCATAAACGATTAAATACGCGGAAATGATAGAAAGTAATGAGAGAAGAGGAATTGACCACCAAGATCCATGGTGTGAGCCTTGGTGGCTCTGATACCATGTTAACTACATTGTAAAAGATGAAGAATTGGTACAGATGAAGAGGAAGACGATAGAGAGAAACATGAGAGATTCTAGAGAGAGAGAGTGTAGAGAGAGAAATATGATTTGTATTGATTGATTGAATGAAGGTTACACAACTGTTTTTATAAGAGAAAGCCTAACTATTCTAACCAAATACTAACCAACTTACTAAGCTAACTGTATTTCTAACTGTATTACTGACTTATATACTTAATAAACCTAACTAATTAGCATTTGGAGTGGGCTACTTGGAGATTTTTGTTATAGGTATTAGTGTGATGTATTATTTTGCGTGTTATAATAAGAATGATATGTGATGTATATCAAATGGTAGAGTGAATGAAAGATCTTGTTGAAATGCACAAATAAGAGCAACAAAAATAAAGATTTGCAAATTTGAATTATAGTATCTAATTTGCGCCCATGAGTTCATCGTTTCTAAGAAAATGACTACGCACATCAATCTCACAAAAGTGCCATGATCATGAAGGATTTTTCGACCAAATTATTCATTTTTTATAATTTTTAATTTAGGGTTTAAGTTTTCGGGACGCTTTAAGTATTTTTATTTGTTTGATCCTTTTACTATTTGGACTCTTAAAAGTCTAGGGCTAAGAAACATTATAAAATATGACATTTAGGTGTTGGGTTTGTCCTCTTTCATTTACCATTCAGTAAATTTTGAGGTTTTCTCATTTGTCGTGGTGGAATCCAATTTACTTGTTCTCTAAGGCATTTATTTGATATCCTTCTCTTCGTCATGTTGCATCAACATGGTTGATAATATCCCTTAAAGAATAAATTAATATGCACCAGCCACACACCCCAAAAAAAAAAATCATTAAAAAATCATAAATTTATTTTGCGATAAATTTCGAGAACAACTAAATCAAAGAAAAAACTAAATAAACAGTAAATGACAAAGCCCATGTCGATGCTTACTAGCAAGCTAGCCATTATTCGAGTCCGCGCGCACAAGCAAACACACAGAAACTCATGACCTTACCCAAACCCCTTCCAATTACAGACAGTTGTACTTTGAGAAAAACATACATAAATCATTAACTCAATTAGTACCATAGGGAAGCACACAGACACATATTCATACATATTGTGATGATTTCTAAGCATAGTCGCAAAACCCTTTTTGGCAAGAAGTGCCTATCTTGCAACGGTTGGAGCACTTGCCACAGTTTTGATGGTCGGACATTGGTTTGACACAATTAGAGTTGCAGCACATCTCTGAACTGGTGCATCTCTTCCCACAAACCCCGCAGTTGAATGCGTCTGTCCTCACATCGGCACAAACATTGTTGCAACAATCTGGCCCTCGGCTACCTTTTGTGGCACTGCAAGCACGAGGGTTTTGGCCACATCCTCCCCGACCCGCCGAACTATTCGAGGCAAGGAACCGGCTTCTTATGATCTCCTGGTGAATGCTGCTTCTTCGTGGTTATTTGGTGTTGCAGAGAGAGTAGTGGCTAAAGCCATGATCAGCATGGCTAGCATAAACAAAACATTGAGAGAATATTTCATTATTTTAGTATGTCAGAATTGGTGTGTTTGTGTGTGTACAAATTGAAGAGAATATATATCAAAGTATATATGAATGCTTAGTGTGGATGTGAAG